ACCAGGCAGGTGGTGCCGGGGTTGGGATTCGAACCAGTGACCCTGGTACTGCCAGGCGGAAGTGCTAACCATTTAGCCACTGTGCTGCCCCAGACTTTAACATTCTAACAGTATAATCTACTCCCTTGCTCAGTTTAGTAAAAAAAAAAGGGGGGCAACAGTTCATGGACACGTGACCATCACCCTTATATGAACTTGTTGGGCAAACCAAGGGAATTTAATGTGAAGTTGGCGCTCCATTAGGCCTTCATTCTCTAGGAAGGCTTTCCACAAGTTTTCAGTGTCTGTTGGAATTTGTGCCCCCACGAAGTTTACCAGTTACCACAAGGGCAAAATTGTCTAAAATGTCTTTGCGTGTTGTGGTTTCAACAATGCCCTTCACTTGGGACCTCTCAACTCAATAATCTGGAGGGTGGTCCATATACAATGGCTCCTATAATCAGTTTGGATTGTATGACCCTTTCTTGTACTCTTAAATGTATGCTTTATATACAGAGTTTCCAATAATTGTAGGTGGTTTTTTTTTTTTTTTTTTTTTTTTTTTTTTTTTTTTTTTTTTTTAGTCCTGATCCTGCAAGGTCAAAACTAATGTTGGATTTGAAGGCCCTGCTTACAATCAGCATCCAAATTCATCCTAAAGGTGTTCAGTAGAATTGAGGTCAGGGCTCTGTGTAGGCCATTTCAGTTCCAAAGTTCCAGTGGAACAATTGCTCCCCTTACAGTGGTGCTAAGGCCATTCTTATAGCTAAAAAGATCATTGGTGTTCCGCAACTGGCTGGCAAGTGACCTTGATCTCAGATCTATACAGGCATCATCAAAAGGGTGATTAAAGAGCCCCTAGCAACCTCTGGAGGAACCTTAAGGTTCCACCACACCCTGGCTGAGAATGGCTGGTCTAAAATGTTTTTATATACTATAGTATTTTCAGAAGCCTTCAGTCAGAACACCCAAACTCACACTTTGGGGAAGGGGTGGCCTCCCCATAAATACATAAATAAAAAAATGCAAGGTCAGAACTAATGTTGGATTTGAAGGCCCTGCTTACAATCAGCATCCAAATTCATCCTAAAGGTGTTCAGTAGAATTGAGGTCAGGGCTCTGTGTAGGCCATTTCAGTTCCCCCACACCAAATTGGTCAAAGCATGTCTTTATGAAACTGGGTTTGTACACAGGGGCACAGTCATGCTGGACCAGACAAAGGCCTTCCCCAAACTGTTACCACAAGGTTGGAAGAGCAAACATGACTAAAATGTCTGCTTGTTGTAGTTTTAACAATACACTTCTCTGGAGACACCTCAACCCAGTAATCTGAAGGGGTGGCCCACATATGTTGACTCCTATAGTGTATTCGTTTGAAGCGGGATGAGCCTTTACTGGACTCATAGATGTGTGCTTTACATGAAAAGTTACTGTCTAAAGTAGAGGGTTTCATTTTTTTTTTTTTAGCCATGAACCTGCAAGGATATAACTGGTCTTGGATGAAACGGCTTTGCTTACAATTGGCATCTGAATTCAAAGGTGTTCAGTTGGGTTGAGATCAGGGCTTTGTGAAGGAAACTGGAAGTCTTCTACACCACACTGGTCAAACTATGTCTTTTTATGGAGCTGGTTTTGTCCCCCAGGGGCACAGTCATGGTGGAACAGAAAAGGGCCTTTGCCAAACCCTCTGAAAAGGTTGGAAGAACACAATTGTCCAAAAAAAACATTTCCAACCTTACCTTTTTCAAGAGGAACTGGTGAAATATTTTTTTAGGTCTTGGGGAGCCCCTTCTAAAACAAATTCATTGGGGTTTAGATGGAAAAAACATCCTTTCCAGTGGTGGCCAGTGGAACAATTGCTCCCCTTACAGTGGTGCTAAGGCCATCCTTATAGCTAAAAAGATCATTGGTGTTCCACAACTGGCTGGCAAGTGACCTTGACCTCAGATCTATACAGGCATCATCAAAAGGGTGATTAAAGAGCCCCTAGCAACCTCTGGAGGAACCTTAATGCAGGCCATAGATGGGTCGAAAATCGGCCGATTTTTCGGCCGAAAATTAAATCGGCCGATTTTCTGATCGTTAGTGGGCTATTTGTTCGGCCGTTTTCGGTATTTTGGAAGATTTTTTTTATCGGTAAAGTTGGAAAAAAAAATCGGCCGATTTTGCCAATCGGCCGATTTTCGCGGCAATGATGGGCAAATCGGCCGATTTTTTACCGATAAAAAATCTGCGCATGAGCAGTGACCTGCAAGAGGAAGACAAAAAGAAGAAAAATAAGAAGAGGAAGAAGAAGAGGATGATGATGAAGAAGAAGAGGATGATGATGATAAGAAGAAGAGGATGATAAGAAGAAGAGGATGATGATGATGATGAAGAAGAGGATGATGATGAAGAGGATGATGATGAAGAAGAAGAGGATGATGATGATGAAGAAGAAGAGGATTATGAAGAAGAAGAAGAGGATGATGATGAAGAAGAAGAAGAAGGATGAAAAATAAGAGGAATTCCAGTCCGGCAAAAAAGTGTCCCTGCAGAGAGCTCTGCTATTTCTTTGACAGTTCTTTGACATTTACAGAGGTTGCAACATTGTATCTATTTGTTTCCGAATAAAAACATCTGTATCCTAAATGGATACAAATAGATACAATGTTGCAACCGCTGTAAATGTCAAAGAACTGTCAAAGAAATAGCAGAGCTCTCTGCAGGGACACTTTTTGCTGGCTGTAGACGGAATGAAAATCGGCCGATTTTTTTTTTTTTTACCATTGCTGGTAACGTCGGCCACTTGAACGACTGATTTTTCGTTTTTTAAAAGAAAAATCAGCCGTTTTTCTCCCCGTCTATGGCCTGCATAAGGTTCCACCACACCCCCTGGCTGAGAATGGCTGGTCTAAAATGTTTTTATATACTGTAGTATTTTCAGCACCCTTCAGTCAGAACACCCAAACTCACACTTTGGGGCAGGGGTGGCCTCCCCATAAATACATTTGACAATATAAGTGTGATGGTTAGGCGTCCTGTCATTTCATTCATGTGCTCATCAGTTATTTGTCAAGCCAAAGTAGGAAAGGAAGTTTGTGTCATCAAAAACACATCTATACAATTTTTTTTTTTTCCTTGAGGTTGATAGGAGCCTGCTTACGTCCAGCACAATCTGCGTTAATCAGCCAAGGGTCCACTGATGCAGTATCACTTCCTGCCATCTAAGTGAGAGTGGGAGATATTTCCTATCAAGCTTGGCCCAGCGAAGCACAATTATTTTTTAAGTGTCTCATTTTTTAATTCGGTAACATTTAGTGCTGATGTTTTAATTGCATACAGCTGAAGCTGCTAAACGAGTGAGGAAATAGATTTAGATGCTCTCCAAGTTTTTTTTTTTTTTTTTTTTTTTTTTCTGCCACCTATAAAAATATATATCATTCATTAGGCTCTAGGATGATCCTGTCTCCCTGCAACTGGGCCGCGGCAAAGCGACAGACTGTATATGCCCGTCTGGAAGATGATTTGTGGCCTTTTTTTCCTGTCAGGATATGAATCGTATTTCATTGTAGTTCACAGGGCATTGAAATAATTTATTCTACTCTTTTATCGCCACTTTGCTTGGTGGGGCTCTATTTAGAAATGCCCGAGTGCTGATTAAGCAAACGTTCTGGTACTGGAGGGATTGAGCCTGAGCCTCGTGGAAAATGGCAGGTGTGAAGCTAAACCTTTTAATGTGTTTTTTTTTTCCATATAAAAGAGCAAGTGCTTTTCTGTAGATTGTTTGGACAGAGTAGGTAAGATTCGGTCCATTCTGTTACCTTTCTCTGGTACATTAATATGCCAATCTAGCCCTTTCCAAACTACTCTGCAGTAATGAGAGTTACTAATTTTACCAAAAAAGTACTCCATCTCTGGAATCTGGTCTGGAATACCCGGTTCAAAGCAATAGTTATTATTATACAGGACTTATATAGCACCGAAAGTTTGCTCAGCGCTTTACATTATGGTGGGAGACAATACAGTAACAATACAAATTCAATGCTCTCCTAGATTGTGAGCTCGAAAGAGCAGGGCCCTCGATCCCCTCATGTTTTGCATTGTATTGGTATTGTTCTGTCACATGTTCTGTCCCCCTTTGTAATGTACAGCGCTGAGCGAACTATTGACGCTTTATAAATACTGTATAATAATAATACAAGAGGGATTCGAGGGCCCTGCTCATTGGAGTTTACAATCTAGGAGGGAGGGGATAGAGGTACAAGAGGTAGTGACTGTGGGGGATGGAGTGGTTGGAAGAGTAGAGGATTCCAGTATTAGCTGAGCGTGGGGTAGGCTTCCCTGAAGAGAGAGGTTTTCAGAGCGCGCCTAAAAGTGAGCAGAGTAGGCGATAATCTGATGGATTGGGGTAGGGAGTTCCAGAGGATGGGGGACACCCTGGAGACTAGCATGGTAGGAGGAGACAAGGGAGCTAGAGAGTAGGAGGTCTTGTGAGGAGCGGAGAGTACGGTTTGGGTGATATTTGGAGACAAGATCGGAGATGTATTTAGGGGCAGTGTTATGAACGGCTTTATACGTCAGTGTTAGTGTTTTAAATTTTATCCATTGGGCTATTGGAAGCCAGTGGAGGGATTGGCAGAGAGGGGTAGAGGACACTGAGTGGAGGCCAGTGGAGGGATTGGTAGAGACGGGTGGAGGACACTGAGTGGAGGTCAGTGGAGGGATTGGCAGAGAGGGGTGGAGGACACTGAGTGGAGGTCAGTGGAGGGATTGGCAGAGAGGGATGGAGGACACTGAGTGGAGGCCAGTGGAGGGATTGGCAGAGAGGGGTGGAGGACACTGAGTGGAGGCCAGTGGAGGGATTGGCAGAGAGGGGGTGGAGGACACTGAGTGGAGGCCAGTGGAGGGATTGGCAGAGGGGGGTGGAGGACACGGAGTGGAGGTCAGTGGAGGGATTGGCAGAGAGGGATGGAGGACACTGAGTGGAGGCCAGTGGAGGGATTGGCAGAGGGGGGTGGAGGACACTGAGTGGAGGTCAGTGGAGGGATTGGCAGAGAGGGATGGAGGACACTGAGTGGAGGCCAGTGGAGGGATTGGCAGAGAGGGATGGAGGACACGGAGTGGAGGCCAGTGGAGGGATTGGCAGAGAGGGGTGGAGGACACTGAGTGGAGGCCAGTGGAGGGATTGGCAGAGAGGGGTGGAGGACACTGAGTGGAGGTCAGTGGAGGGATTGGCAGAGAGGGGTGGAGGACACTGAGTGGAGGCCAGTGGAGGGATTGGCAGAGAGGGGTGGAGGACACTGAGTGGAGGTCAGTGGAGGGATTGGCAGAGAGGGGTGGAGGACACTGAGTGGAGGTCAGTGGAGGGATTGGCAGAGAGGGGTGGAGGACACTGAGTGGAGGCCAGTGGAGGGATTGGTAGAGACGGGTGGAGGACACTGAGTGGAGGTCAGTGGAGGGATTGGCAGAGAGGGGTGGAGGACACTGAGTGGAGGTCAGTGGAGGGATTGGCAGAGAGGGATGGAGGACACTGAGTGGAGGAGGCCAGTGGAGGGATTGGCAGAGAGGGGTGGAGGACACTGAGTGGAGGTCAGTGGAGGGATTGGCAGAGAGGGGTGGAGGACACTGAGTGGAGGCCAGTGGAGGGATTGGTAGAGACGGGTGGAGGACACTGAGTGGAGGTCAGTGGAGGGATTGGCAGAGAGGGGTGGAGGACACTGAGTGGAGGGATTGGCAGAGAGGGGTGGAGGTCAGTGGAGGGATTGGCAGAGACGGGTGGAGGACACTGAGTGGATGCCAGTGGAGGGATTGGCAGAGACGGGTGGAGGACACTGAGTGGAGGCCAGTGGAGGGATTGGCAGAGAGGGGTGGAGGACACTGAGTGGAGGCCAGTGGAGGGATTGGCAGAGAGGGGTGGAGGACACTGAGTGGAGGTCAGTGGAGGGATTGGCAGAGAGGGGTGGAGGACACTGAGTGGAGGCCAGTGGAGGGATTGGTAGAGACGGGTGGAGGACACTGAGTGGAGGTCAGTGGAGGGATTGGCAGAGAGGGGTGGAGGACACTGAGTGGAGGGATTGGCAGAGAGGGGTGGAGGTCAGTGGAGGGATTGGCAGAGACGGGTGGAGGACACTGAGTGGATGCCAGTGGAGGGATTGGCAGAGACGGGTGGAGGACACTGAGTGGAGGCCAGTGGAGGGATTGGCAGAGAGGGGTGGAGGACACTGAGTGGAGGGATTGGCAGAGAGGGGTGGCAGATACAGAATGGTTAGTAAGGTGGATGAGTCTGGCAGCAGCATTCATGATAGACTGAAGAGGGGATAGCCTGCGGTGAGGTAGGCCAGTGAGTTCCATCTTGGAAAACAAATTGTGACTAAAGCTGGCCATACATGTATCACAATTTGTCTAATTCTCTAGGGTCCAGCCAAATTTCGATCCATGTGTGGCCGCTCCTGCTTCATAGAAGTAGTTCTAACAGTTGATTTCTGTCAACCGGGCTTGTTGGAACATTTTATTCAAGCAGCAGCTGCAGCCTGAAGCACAATAAACTGGCCCTTTGTTTAGAAAGTCTGGAGACCCCTGCTCTGTATCCATAAAGACTGGAGTTTGATCCTGTTGAGGGTCCGTAGATCTATTACAGCTAAACCTTGAAAAAAAAAAAACCCTAGCTAAAAGACCTGACGGTAAACATTGTCCAACATTTTTAGGCACACTTAATTAAGGTTAAAAAGGCTCAAAAAGCACTGCAAATGATATAGCTAAGCAAAAGCTAAAAAGTTACAATTTAATCCAAATATGGAATTGTCAAAAATCATCTAGACACTAATTTTTAGACATTTAGTTTGCCAAAGCACTGCGTGTCATACACCGAAGGTTTTATTTTCCGCTTTATGCTGCATTATACTTTGATTGATCTCCTCTAGCTTCTCTCAGCCACGTCCTGTCTACATGATCAGTGCTTATCATGGCTTTGGACTGGCTTCCCCCATAATGCCTGCCACAAAATAGGTGTGCCGAGCTTGTAGCATCAAACTCCTAACGGCTTGAGGCTGGAATTGGTGCTAAAGGGGCTTCAACAAAGCATTGAGCAAAGGCTGGGTATGTTTATGTACATGGGGGTTATGGAGTGGCCAACCCAATCCCCAGATCTTAATCCAATAGAAGACTTGTGGGGGGGTGACATCAAAAATGCCGTTTCTGAGGCAAAACCAAGAAATAGAGAAGAACTGTGGAATGTGGTCCAATCATCCTGGGCTGGAATACCTGATCACAGGGGCCAGAAGTTGGGGGACTCCATGCAACACAGATGTACAGCAGTTCTCAGAAACAGTGCGACTACAACCAAATATTCATGAAGTCATTCAAAGGAAAGCAAAATATTCAAACATTTCTCAGTTTATATAGTGAATGTTTGAGTTTGGAAAGAAGAATACAAACACTGCGATTTTTTTTTGAACCGTCTAATATTCACTTTTCTTCCATATTTTTAGAGAAACAACACAAATTTGATATTTTTCTTCATGTTGTGATTTGGAATAGAATGTGTCGTGTGTTCCCAATGCATTTGTGTGGATGGAAATAAAAGCTATTAGAAGGATTTTCAGCTTTATTCACTTTTTTCAACACACTGCTATTATTTTGAACACAACTGTATATATATATATATATAATAGCAGATAATATTCCTGAAACACTTCACAATTCATCCGGCTGCTTCTGTCAGCAGTCACATCATCAATAAATACAAGAGAACCAGTTCCATTGGCAGCCATACATGCCCACGCCATGACACTACCACCACCATGCTTCACTGATGAGGTGGTATGCTTAGGACCATGAGCAGTTCCTTCTCCATACTCTTCTCTTCCTGTTTTTGAGGCTCACCAATGGTTTCCATCTTGTGGTGAACCCTCTGTATTCACTCTGGTGAAGTCTTCTCTTGATTGTTGACTTTGACACACATACACCTACCTCCTGGAGAGTGTTCTTGATCTGGCCAACTGTTGTGAAGGGTGTTTTCTTCACCAGGGAAAGAATTCTTCGGTCATCCACCACAGTTGTTTTCCGTGGTCTTCCGGGTCTTTTGGTGTTGCTGAGCTCACCGGTGCGTTCCTTCTTTTTAAGAATGTTCCAAACAGTTGTTTTGGCCACGCCTAATGTTTTTGCTATCTCTCTGATGGGTTTGTTTTGTTTTTTTCAGCCTAATGATGGCTTCACTGATAGTGACAGCTCTTTGGATCTCATCTTGAGAGTTGACAGCAACAGATTCCAAATGCAAATAGCACACTTGAAATGAACTCTGGGCCTTCTATCTGCTCATTGTAATTGGGATAATGAGGGAATGACATACACCTGGCCATGGAACAGCTGAGAAGCCAATTGTCCCATTACTTTTGGTCCCTTAACAAGTGGGAGGCACCTATGCAAACTCTTGTAATTCCTACACCGTTCACCTGATTTGGATGTAAATACCCTCAAATTAAAGCTGACAGTCTGAAGTTAAAGCACATCTTGTTTGTTTAATTTCAAATCCATTGTGGTGGTGTATAGAGCCAAAAATGTTAGAATTGTGTCCATGTCCCAATATTTATGGACCTGACTGTATATATATATGTATATGTATACACACACACACTGGAAATTGGGTTGTTTATTTTCTAGTAGACGCAGTTCGGTCCCTGTACATTAAGCCTTATGAATAGCTGTGGAGACGGGAAGTCCAAATGGAGGTGAACGAGACCTTAATCCAATTTTGTTTTTTAAAATCGTGTTGTGCGGGGGAGAAGAGAAACCCTCTCTCTGGGATCTTTAGGCGCACCTGAAATTTAAGGTGGACATCCTTCACGTCAGTCGCTATCCTTTCCCGCTCCCCTCTTCCTGCCCTCATTCCAATTTCTTCTTTATTAGAGCTCATATCTCATTGTCAATTATTCTCGCTTTGCCTGTCCTCCTGCGGGAGGATTTTATACACGTATGGATACGTGAAAGATGAAACAGCTTCATTTCAACTCCAAATGTTTAATGGCTAAATTGCTTCTCTCTGTCTGAGGAATTTTTCACTGAGTTCTTAACTTTGTCACTTGGTCTTTGCTCCTTTTTTGCCGTCCTCTATTCGGAGATAATAAGGGGAAGAGGTGGCTGGAGACTTGAAGTAGCAATGCGCTAGGTTATTTCCCCGAGATAACTATTCCACAGTCTGTGTTCTATCTGCTTTATGCTACACCCGTGACCTGAATATAAAATACCATGCAAACAGGATCCTTCTATGAGGATAGCAGTGATTTTCTTTCAGTATAATATAAATAAAGGTACCTATCCAGGAGGGAACAAACGTAGAATTCAAGGATCAGCCAATCAAGGAGGCAAAGGACAGATTTTGGGTCTTGGGGACCATATGTTCCCTTTGTTAAAACCCTACTCTGGGCTTACACTTTTTTTTTCCTAACAGTGGACAGCACAGCGGCTAAATGGTTAGCACTTCCGCCTGGCAGTACTCGGGTCGTTGGTTCGAATCCCAGCCACGGCACCACCTGCCTGGAGTTTGCATGTTCTCCCTGTGCCTGTGTGGGTTTCCTCCAGGTACTCCGGTTTCCTTCCACAGTCCAAAGACATGCTGGTAGGTTAATTGGATCCTGTCTAAATTGGCCCAAATATGTGTATGTATGTATGAAACAAATTCTTCTAGGTAAGTTGTACCTGTTTACAGAAGCCATCTCTTCTCTACAGCAGTTCAAAGTCCAGAATTTAGACAGCATTTCTCAGCTCCAGAAGGCAGGGTCCTGAATCTGATGACACACACTGCACAGCAGCAGGGAGCTGAGTGTAATCTGAAACCTGAGTGAAAAGAGACACACACCCTCTACACAGTCTTATATGGAAACATGCACAGCTGAAGCTCTCAGTCACCTGCAGTGTGCTGGAGGACAGGGCCATCTCCAGGTTTGCTTGGTGTCGGCATAAACTGTCAGAAGTGACTCATGCAGATAGCAGAGGAATGAGAGAGGAAAAAGAAATCACACTAGGTGTTGTAATTAGAGAATGGATATGCTTTGTTTTTCATTTCAGAGGTTTACAACCACTTTAAATTATAAAATGTGTGGCTTTTTGGGGAGTCAACTAACTAGCACTTTCAGATTCCTGAAACCCCCCCCCCCCTTCCAAAAAAAAAAAAATATATATATAGATACTGCTCAAAAAAATTAAAGGAACACTTTGAAAACACATCAGATCTCTATACTGACATGGACGGGGGATGTGTGAGGAACGTAAGGACGC